GCCCATAGGCAAGTGTGCAAGTATACTAGTTGTAAACATCGAACAGCCTGAATGCAATCAACGACATTACGTACCAACCGCATGATGAATATCTATTCGGATACATGTTCACTTAGGTACTCCACTACTGGTTTAACTAATTCACCTATCTCTATGTTGAAGATCAAAAGTCCATCATTGCATAAACACTTAAATTCCAGTACAATTTTGAATACATTTTTCCAAAATGGGCTGTATTTATTCAATTAGTTGTTGTTCCCATCCGTTGGATTCCGGGGAAACTGCCCGGGGACAAGACAATTTCTCGCAGTAATTAGCTGGTTTTGTATGCCTCAGCTAGTTGAATTGGCTGTTCAATGATGAAAAAATAATGGAAAAATTGGTTGGTTTCTTTAGCTTCAGTTGGCAAAACATGCATTATGTAGTATCTCGAGGTAGGTTCAAATCCTAGAGAACTCACTAGTCTACCCACAGGCAAACCACATCTTTGAGCCCCTGCTAAACCAACAGCCTTTTCTCTGATATACAGTACCTCTTGTTTTCCGCCCGGTTTTGTTGCCCACAAGAATGCTCAAGAATGCTCATGCACCGCTGTTTTGGATATCTTAAAAATAGCCCAGACAATATTTTCGGGAAGGTGTTTGTCCCGCTCCCAAATGCGAACTACGAACGACCCATAGAGTTTCACCGTTGGCTTCCACAACCAGCAATATTTTCCATCTCATCGTAGGGAAGTTGAAATGCCAAAGTGACAAAAATCATGTGTCATGGTTTTTGAGCCCACCTCGCCGTACCCTGGTAGTGTGTTCCCAAGTGTCCATATGCTGTCTTTTTCCCACTGATACTCGTGGAAAAGTTCAGCTTCAAGAATATTTTATTCAGATTTACTTCTAGATATCTCTTCTTCTATCCTGGTTTTATTCTATGTGCCGTGAGATACTACTCACACTTGTGAGTAGTTCACACAAAGACGCCTTTGGCGGTTTTATCAACGGTCAAAATTGGACACGACCTTCTGTGGCGAATTACTGCTATTCAGTATGGTAAATACACAAGAATGCGTATATCATAGTGAACTGTGCCTACGTGACTGCGGCAATTATGACAACCCGTTCCAAATGAAATATTTTATTGTTTGAATACCAATTTACCGATACCTGGACCGTTCTTCATAATGAACAACCATCGTCGACCAGACGCGCTGCCTTGTGGAATTATTAACGAGTCGATCAATACAAGAAATCAAAAAGGAAGGATTTCACTCCCTTCACAAAATTCCTATCAGTGATTCCAATACAAAAAGAGAGAAACCTGGATGTTGGTACTTGAATTGTACCGTTTCATCCTCCCGAATTCCTAGGAATATTTTCCAATATAATCCACTTTATGATGTGCTAGGTGCACCACCTAGATCGAGACGCGCTGCGAGGTCAAACCTATCATCGCCTAATGGGGCAGCGTAAATCCTTGTTTCACCCAGAATTTGGGTAACTATTCACGAGCTGTTGTAAACCTCGCGCTTCCCAAAATCCTTAGGGTTGATCTTATCTAAGAGTGATATTTTTGAGCATGCAACATCAATATATAGTTCGTGATGTTTTAGAGACTTATCAGGTTGACGAGTGATGCTCGGTTTGATCCGGTTTGACAAGGTTCCCCATCAAAAAATACTACGAACTATTAAAATCGCCCGCTAACAAGAATCCCTGTGATAGATTTGGTGCCTTTAAAATTCCCCTTTGATCTGAATTTTATCTAGTTGCAGGTTAACCTGAATGATTGCCACTTACCCACTTATATATTTCATTATAAAATTGTTATGTCTTGCCGACACGTATGATCGATATGAGCGCCTCTTAACTAGACCTCGACAATTAGAGAGAGAACACGGCTGAGAAAAGGACAGTCGTGATCATGAAACAATACGTGAATATATGTGGCAAATTCGGCGAACGTGATGACGCACCAATCAGATCACGAATTTGATACTCCGGTTGATCGATCGGCTGTCTGATTCACCTCAGTCATCCAAACCGGAATCGATTCGGCTTTGAGTGCCACAAATGCGGATCGGTGCGTGGCCTGACGGGTTCTGTACTCTTCGTCCAAAAGGAGTCAAAGATAAATACTTCAAAAAAAACGCTGGATGGATTTGTTTTCAGATGCTGCTCACATAAGAATGATGTTTTGATTCGAACAGACACCAGTTTCATGGATTCCTAAATTTCATCACCTGCTTTATGTGATTCGATGGTCTATTTCGTCCTCGAAATATCGGTTATCCAACAATATGTACCGGTTTTCATAAAGGTCAGAAACCTATTGAAACATGCTCTGCCTGACAACAGCTTTTCGTACGATGATTGCCATGGATCAACTGCTAGGTGGCTCACTCAAAATTGTTGAAAACGTCGAGACGGTCAGCATGAAGAGAAAATACAGCTAGTGAACGATTAACTACTTCAAGGGTTTCATCACACGAGGGGTGGGCGTTCGCGTACACGACACGGCAGCTAACTGGAGCCAAACGAAATGGCGAATGAAGGCAGCTTTTTGCTTTGCTGGATAAATGGATTGGGATCCCTATGATGAATTTCAGTATAAATAAAAACTCCATTTTTAGTCCTAAAATATCAAAACGTTTATCCGGCACATCGATCAGTGACAACCCGTTGACTCATTGTTTCGTTGCTATTTATTTGTGCCTAAAACACATTTTCAGATCATTTATATAGCTTTTTCAATGTTTTTTACAAGTGCACATATTCATGCTACTAATGAGTAGCCGAAATTTGTTCATGAAATTCTGTCATGGCGGTAGTTGTGGATCAGATGAACCGGGGTAGATGGGTTTACCATCAATCACTGCCTGGAGAGACCAATGCGGCAAGTTTTAACCAGAATACACTTTGTGCCAGCCTACAAACTGCCATCAAATCTGCAACCATCAGAAAAATAAATGCGTCTAACTATCCTCTTCATATTTGATCACGATGAAGTCAACAGAGCAGTTGTTCCATTAGGAGGGCGGTCTGCAACCAATCAGGTACAGTTTGTAGAGACACACCATGAACTGTTTGGGTAACGCTAATTGGGTTTTGCTTTACTTCCTCCGGGTCCGAAAACGATGACACAACCATCGAGTAGTGAATTTTTAGAAGAAGGAACGAAGTGTAAAATGGGCGAACTCTATTGTCTACGATTGGTTCAGCACGAGTTACCACGAAACCTGTCGTTCATTTAGTGATTAAAATCATTCGTTTTCGATTAATGCTGCAAGTAATTTTTCATCACTTCGAAAAATACCTTTACTCATTTTCGTGTGAAGTAATTCATGCCCAAAGATCGTATGAGAGAACAGTTTTTAAATGGCTCATGCTAAACCATGTGCAAAGATACTCACGCGCACTATGTAACTCTGCTCAAGATAACTAATAATTTCTTGAGCTGATGGATTTGTTGTGTGAATGAGGCATGAGCTAAACAGCTGAGAACCACTGGACCTAAATGGGTCTCATCAGCAGTGCGAAACCTTCGACCAAACCAGGGATCGAATACGGGACCTCGCAGGTAGAATGCAAGAATACTACCCACTCGGCCACCGGGCAACTGATCCAACCGTTTTTCATTTTCCCCTTTACACGATATAGCACAACCCATATTTGTGAGCGAAGGACCTCGCTTATCTCAGTACTAGCCTCCGGGGTTATGACACGGTTGAAAAATTTCGCAACTAATACTTTCTATTCCATACTAACCATTCGAGTTCATACTAAGTACTCACTTCGAATACATTTCGCCAAACACATTTTTCGCAAGGCAAGCAGTATGTCAGCGAGTATGGGAACACAAAAACTTGAAAATTCCCTTTGAGAGCATTCTAGATGTGGGTGGAGAGAAGCCCATTCAGAAACTGTTGCCCGTTCTATATATGTGTGCACAACACGTTAAAAATATGGGTGTTGAACCCTTGGCCCTAACATACACAATTGGCGGTTACTACCTTGAGCGGATAGCACAATCACTGTAGAGAGTCGTGATTGGGTGATTCCATACGATTCTTCCCAAGCACGAGGCACTGGTGATGGTCTCCAAAAGGAAGAAACTGCCGTCCGGTGCTATTTACAAAACACCGCAAAAAATGTGTATTATATATAGACGCGTTTCACTGGTGTGGGCGTAGGGGGGGGGGGCAACGATCTCCCATGGAGTGAAAAACACTATGCGTAATGCAGCCAACGTGCAACCCAATGAGGGGTAGGGAATTCCAAAAGCTAGCTCCTTTTGACTACCTGTCTTGAAGCATTGCTAAATCGATCGAACTACGAAGCTTCTGCAGCCCATCGTGTTAGGTGCATCGGTTTTAATTTGTGAAAAAATGTAATGAATGCTGATGCGCATGCATGTGACAAGGCAATTAGGCGCGCGAAATATAGTCTTAGCACACTGAGAAGTGTTCTCAAATTGAATCGCGCAAACAATTGAGATAGGAGTGAATATCTTTCTGTTCTCTAACGTTCACGGAATATATTTGTCCGACCTCATCGTAGCAACTGTTCAATTTTATCACAGTGTGATTTACACAGTGACTGCTATTACTTCGAAATAAGTAGTAGAGATAGTAACGTCGAATTATGCGACGCGCAAGTTCCTTTTGGTTAATATATAAATAACAGACGGAATAGCGCATGATCGAAGATGAAAGTGATTCAAAATGAGATCATATATAAAACACGGAAATTCGTCGATAATTGAAATAACATGTGAGGATAAACCGGCTCCGACAGCAGATGATGGTGGAGTCGTGTCGAGATACCGAGAGGAAATATTCTGTATCCTTTGCTCAGTGGATTTGCGTAAATGATAGTCTAATTACAACCCATTCGTGTTCTTTTTTGTAAGACCAGGTTACTGTCTGAAAGTGGGATCTACGGAGCTGCTTTAGGGACCGGTTTTGGGTAAACGGGAAGCTGGATCGGTGGGGATATTCGGATTTTAGATCACAGGTTTTCCACGCGAATAAGCAGTCCTTGTCCGATAACACGGGTCATGGTACGATTGCACTGCAAGTTCCACTCCCCCGACGACGCCACGCGGGCATTTTCGGTGCCAGTCGATGTACACGTATAGGCTCCATTCTGTGTATGGTGAAGGGTAGAGAGAGAGAGAGAGCAAGCAAATAAACGAGGGACGCTTTCGGGATCACACTGAATGGTTGCACACATGTTCTCTATGTCGCTTTACAATGTTAAAGAGAAATGTTTGCGGGTGAAAGAAGCTTTGAGACAGTTCATTCGCAATATGCGGGATTTGTAGAAAAAGATACTCTACTGTCTAGAGCGTGATTGTGGGCATACAATGAATTTCAATGTGACAGAATTAAGAGGGTATAACTTCTGTGTTAAGTACGCTTACGGTTGTTTACTTGTTCAGACAAGCTTGTGACGAGCTCGATGGCGGCAAACGAGTTACCGGCAGCGCGGAACGGGTGCTTCCACATAAATCTTACTTGCATTTGTCGCTTACTTGGCAGACACTGACGTCAGTACAAGCACAAGTGAAAATCGATCCCGAAGCTCTCTGAAGACGGTGAGATTAAAGTTCTTCACTTCCATTGGGTTTACGATCAAGGAGAACGCCCATCACTCCCCAATACACAAATAGATAGAACAAGGGATATCATCAAAACAAAGTCTAACGTCCAAAATGTCGTAAATACCGATCCGGAAGCATACATATGGAAACACATACAGTGATTCAGTTCACATGTTCACGTACAACCATCAATTCATTGAATCAAACTTACACACTGGTTGTACTAAAACTTCAGTTTTGCTCCTGTTTAAGCGCGTCAGTAGTGCATATCTACCGTCCAGTTCGAGGTTTAAGCGCCAGAACCGTTTCATAAAATCGGTGTGTTACCTCTTACATCAGGGCAAACCAGAGATACCAGTTCAATCTCTTTTCTTTTTCCGATTTCGTCTTCAGTAACAGTTTATCAGTTCATGTTGGCCCGATAGCAAGAAAAAGAAGACAGTTGATTATCGATTAACGGCGATCGAATCCTGTATTTCATGCATTCTCGGTCTGGCTTGCCCTAATTAGGCCCACCAGGCTGGGTTTTAAATTTAAATTGATGTCAAAGTGAGATGTATTTAGCGATGCGGTATATAAATTTGTATTTGTTTGTGTGTGTGTATGTGTGTATTCTCCCACTGGACAAGAACAAAATTAGTACTCAATGCGGATACGTGCCAACAGGGACGTAATAGCTGTTCACTGCTGTTTGCTAGCTAACAAATAATGCCTTTGAGCAAGCCGTATTTACAGGCACACCTGACCGAAAATAAACTGATTAACAGAACTCAATACGAAGAGTGAGAGTACACCATTTATCAAATCCTCGGGTCGTGCAGATAGTCTGTGACATGCGCGTTGGTGTGTGTGCGCGCCGGGCACGTGTTTAATATCAACAGATCGTCTACGGAGATCGCCAAAGTGTAGCCCTTCTTCGGAAAACACATGATAACATATCATGGAAATGAGAACATCAACGTGGACGCTTATTGCGTGGTAAAACAGATCGCCATTACTCACGTTTGGCATTGTTATGCTTACTCTCTCTCTACCGTGAGTGTACAATAGAAAACCCGAATCCACTGTCTGGTGATATTCTAGAGTTATTTTTCTCCAGAGATAAGCGATAACGTAGCCCTGAAGTACCAGATTAGTGTGGTTCATCGGCATCGAGACCTATCTTTGTCTAGTGCAAGTGAATTGTTCAGGTGTTTGTATTATCCTATTGTGACCAACATAACTGAAACAGGTTCGCACATATTTGAATCCGAGTTACGATACAACCAGCTAGAAATTATCTCTCGTGTAAATGTCAGCCGGTTTCATCTGAGGTGACCTTTCGCGCAGATAAAAAACCGGCAAATTGTGTGAAAGAACCATCACCACGATAATGAATTGATGAATAAATGAAAAATCACAGCAACTAACCACTTGAACCTGAATTGTATTTCCGGTAGAATTTCGTTTTCGATTGATCAAGTGCGCGTGTTCAAGTTCCTTGATTGTGGATGAAACTTTGAGAATTTCATAAGAAATCATACGAAATTACGAGTGAAAATCGACTGAAGATGATACCAACTCGCTGAACTCACCTCACAAGCACAGCCTAGACAGTCAAATCCCAGTCGGACCAGATCACTGGATGGGCAGACATTTTGAGTCTCTTGTAGATCATGTGATTCGCGAAGTCTTCCGAGAAATCGATCACAATGGCTATGCTCCATGCGCTCTGGTTCCGTATCGGATGAACACTGCAGACGTTTACATACGGTGACTTCATTCTACAAAGGAGGGTGGATTGACAATTAAATGGTGGTGGTTACATGATATCAATTCCAAAGGTGTTAAACTACTCGATCGACGGTACTACTGGGTTGTCTGGAGAAAGCGAAGTGAATATCGATTCCCTTGGTTCAGTTAGTCTTATTGCTCAAACCGATGTCCTTTTGCGCCATTAAGTCAAACTTCCCCGAGTCTAACTCAATACGCGTAGGAACAAGGATCGAGGAGCGATGTGAGCCCAAGCGCTAATGTTCACTGAACCAAAATCTGGACAATTCAGTATAGAGGGAACAAAATGCTGGAGAATTATCAACGGCAGCCGTTTGACTGGTGGCTTCCTTCGTCCTGAAAATTGTATCTGTCCATTCAACAAAAAGACGTAAAAAATGGATGAGAAAGAGAACGAGCGAGTATAAATCCGATGGGGCGTAGTGGGAGCATCGTTTCATTTACTGCTCCCGCATTCCTCATGCCCTGTACGCATCATCAAGAAACACTCGTTTGTGAGGACCATTTTCGTGGTGAGTGAGAATTCGACGATGCATTATAAACTTGACACACTGAGTCCACCATTTCCATGCTCGGTTACGTCATCCATTTCACCAACCCCTCCTGCAATGTGCTCGGCCATTCGTTGTGAGGAATTGTGGCAGACGAATATTTATCTCTTCTCGCGGATTCGCAATAGTTTTACGGCATTAGGATTCAACGTTCCTGACGCCGTGTCTGAGTAGATATCTCGAGTGCATTTTTCACTCTACACTACTCCAATTTCGATTTTGTTGTACGTATAATTTTGCTGCATCCGTAATGAGCAAACACACTGAAAATATAAACTATCCGATGCCAATAAACCTGAGTTCGGTCAAATTTGGACTGATATTTACCAAATCACTCATCAGCGTGCATCTGATGCTCAAACATCAAACTTACATGGATGAAGACTACTCGGTGGAATAAAAATATCGATCTGGATTCTGACGCAATATAATTTTGAATCAACATATGTCCGTTGAGTGTATGACTCTTGTTTCGAAGCGAGATCGTATCTGGTCTAAGTACATTACTGAGCGGACTGGCTAAATCGGAGGTGGTCGAACTCAGACTCTGCTATATACCTTGCTGGTAGTATTCACTAAGCAGCTCATCAAAACCTTCAAATAAGGTGGACCATCCTTAAACCGGTATGGTCTTTAATGCAAACCCATTCTTTTTGGTTCAAGCTCAGTACAACAAACTCGTCGCCTCATAATGAAGTTAACTAACAGTTTCCCTTTCCACTACAGTATTTTGATTCAATGTTCCATCCGCACTTCATGATAAATTTGTTTCAGTACCTTTGGTTTTCAGTGCAGAGTAGTCAAAACATATTCCATTCTTTGATAGGAGCATGAAGTTAAGAATGTTGTTATATAGTTTTTCATGCAGTACGAGGGAAATTTGGGCTACGGAGTGGATTGTACGGGTGGAACACCGGACCGTGGGACTGATCTATGGCGGCTACCCTACTATGTTTGACAATATTAGGTCCTACTTCGGACTGCACAATTGCAATGTATACAGGTCAATGTGGTTTCATGCTTTAACTCTGTGTGTGCGGATTATTTTTGGCTGTTCTCAATTACTGCGTGAGAATGCTTCATCAGACCAAGGTTTCTATCCGGGCTCCGCCCAAAGTACATTTCCCCGGCTGGGTGTGTTCGCTTTTCAGACAGTCAGTTAGCTCTGCTACTGCAGCCTCAGTGAGCCTATTAAAATTGGACTCAAAATTGTTCAAACTGGTCCAATCTGAGCCGGATGAGTCATCACTTGATTGATACATGAATGTAGTAGACCACAAATCACCAGGTTGTTCCAAAATGTTGATTGCGTATTTAACGTGTCAAGTTTGGATTAACTCGTTCGATTGTTTAGAGGCCCCAAATACTCTTGGGTATGTTGGTTACACTCCTTGGGAGAGTCCTAAGCAGGACGAATCAGCTGCTCTTTGTCGATCAATACAAACGTGCCCATTGCGTTTCATTGATAATCGTGTCTGTTTACCTTCATTCCGGTGTTCCGTTTCACACATCATTCATCATTATTTCCCTAATCCCAGAAGTGCCAGGTTAGATTTGTCCACAGTGTGAGAATCCGATTTAACCTCTTGAACTAGCCCAGTAAATCTAATGGTATGTAGTTTGAATGTGCAAACAGTTTGTTCAACTCTTTGACGAGTTTATTTTAATAGCCTATTCAAGTCCTGTGGGACTCCAGGTTTGAATTACCAAGCATCCATTGAACTTGGTTGATTTGAGGGATAGTGTATTTCTTTCATGATTAGCATTGGTATTCCGGGGGATTGAAAAGTGCTATTGGTGAAGCATGTCAAACGGGTCCTGAATGATTCGAATAGTTTCGTTTTCGTTGCGCCGACGCAAACGGATACCTCTCAATTTCAGTGGGGTGATTCTTTTTCTTTGGTAAACGTTGACCCCCCCTCACCTCAAATGCTTCAAATCAAATGTGCGCGCATACCGAATTTTCTGCAATGTTTACATTCCTCAACTCGGACGTTATGGGCACAAAGTTCTTTCGTGCTATGAAGATCACTAGACCCATTCCAACATTTTAGTAGATTGAGAAGAATACTAAAGTTAATTAATTCAAGCTCTGTCTCGGACCATTTAACCTCCATCACATCATTATCGCTGATTGCAGCTCAGCATTTAGTCTTCGTATACCGTCTACCGGCTACGACCTGAGNCCTGAGGAGATACAACGGAATGTCTATGGAAAAACATGATGCACTACATACTGCTGTGTCCTCTGAACAAGTAATAAACCGCAACGTAGAGGTGTCTCTCTTAGCTGATAAAAACCGAGGATTAGGTTGTTGCGAAATCCTGTAGATACAAGGGCTGACCAAAACGATTCCGGATACGCAGTGCAGAACTACGAGGTGCAGATGATCGGGTGTTGGAACGAAGATCAATGCCATTCGTC